GGATCTCCGTCAGTGAGTTAGGTGATAAAAGTTGATTCTCTTCTTTCGTGGTCTCTATCCCATTATATTAAGGAACCTTCTCTGCTTCTGTGGACTCTACAAAACAATGAATTATTGACATGCCTTACTCATTAGGCATGAAGAAGAAATGGAGCATTCTTTTTTCTTTCCAATACATATTCATTCTAATGGAATTGAAGGAATACTAGCGTAGATTCAAATACACGAGAACACAAATATCTAAAACAAAAATAGCTATCAGTGAAACACACATAATGAACTCACACTGGAGCTGAGTCAGATGGGGTTAGCCAAACCTATATGATTGTCTGCATACCAGAACTGGCTAAGTCAGAAGGAACTCGTTCATACAAACATGGTCATGGATCCACGGTGTAACACACTTCTACAAAATATGAATTTAGGTGAATAAACATTAACTTATATTTTTGTTTTTGAAGCCTACAAGATTTTCTCTGGATCTAGTTAATTTGCTTTTTGGTTTTTAAAAAACCTTGAATGTTTTGTGACTAAGATAGTTTCTTCATTTTTCTCAGGCTTTTCATTGAGCCCTCTCTATGCACTTGTAGATTGTTATGAAGAACATGACAATTTAAAAATAAGCCAACAGGTTAATTCCTTCACCTTAGTTTGGTATTTTTTTTAATGGAGATTTCTTTTGTAAAAGCTTCAGTTCCTTGATTCAGCTTCCTTAAGCCAAAATGAGAATCCCTATGTAGTTCACATAAGATAAAACATCTCCCCTTTCACCTTAGCTATATGGCATGCCTAAACATGAGAGCGGTGGAAAGGGAAGGGTCTTTTTTCTTTATGTAATTCATTAAACAGTGTTAGATGATTTGTTTTGTTGGACATACACTATTTGCCTTTACCTGTAGCAAGTAATGAGGATATAAAAGTCAATAATTTACAATTGATGCTTTCATAGCTCTCTCTCCTCACGTTGAGAGAAAAGAAAGTAAAAATGAGATAATACCATGCAATGATTAAGTGCTATAATAAAGATACATACTATGTGGATTTCCAAAGAAGGGAGCGGAGCAGCTGTTATCAGTAGAAATCAGGAAAAAAAAAAACGTGAAAAGCAGGATACATGACTTGGAACTTGAATAATAAATATTTAGGGAGGAGTGCCTCTGCAAGGCACTTCTTTCTAAAAAGTGGCATTTATAGGGGCTTCCTATATGTTGTGTGTGGGGGGGGTAATGTGAAATTTTAGTCTGTCTAGAAATGGGGTTACACAAGAGTAGGAAGGTTGAGTGATGTTTTGAAGTACTTTACTCATTCTCAAGAATAAGTTTCATTTTATTCTGTAGCCAGTGATAGACAAGAACAAGTTTTTATAAACAGGGAAGAGACATAACTAGATTGCTTTTCTCAGCAGATAATTTTTGTACCATTTTCAAGGATATGCTTACCAAGGGAGTAGTTATTGATGGCAGGAAGTATGATTAAAAGTTTATTATAATAATTTCAGAGAAAAAGAATGGCTGTGGAGATGGGTAAGAGAGGCTAGAACAAGAATTTCCCAAATACTGTATAGCAATATTTATCATTATGTCAAAGAAATTTTTATACTTTGAATTATGAGCCTTCCCCTTCACCTAAATTCATATGCTCAAGCAATAATATCTAGAACCTTAGAATGTGAATATATTTGGAGAAAGATCTTAATAGCCTTGGTTCAATTATAATGATGTCACTATTGGGGACCCTAATCCAAGATGACAGCACCTCTTTAACAGAGGAATAAATTTGGACATGGATGTATATGGAGAGTCTTGATGTAAAGACATGGAAAAGATGGCCCTTTACAAGCTAGAGAGAAAAGCCTAGAATACATTGTTCCCTCATGGTACTCAGGAGCAGCGGTCTCTGCCGAAAACCTTTTCTTGGGCTTGGTAGCCTCCAGACTATGGACAATAAATTTCTATTATTTAACCCACCCAGTCTTTGTATCCTTCTTATAGGAGCCTTGACAAGCTATTATTTGAATATTCTGGTGTATGCTTAAATCTGTACTAACAAGAATAGGTTACACAAGAAAAAAATAATAGTGGTTACTTTTGAAGGGACAGTTTTTTGGAGGAGATTTTTTATGATACAACTTTATAATTATTGATTGATTATTGATTATTCATAAAATTAAAGGAAAATACACTGAGGGAAAATTAATGTGAAATTTATTGGTATTATGGACATGTATTTGTAGTTGAGAAGTGAGGGTGATATTAACAACATTTGCTGAGAATGTTGAATGGGTAACAGTGCTTTAAAATTAAAGGATAATGGTGAGTTCTACTTTAATACATATTATAATGATGAGGCTGAGATACACACTCAGAGATAATTTATTCTGTAAAAAGACAATGGTTACTACAGGTGGGAGACAAAATAAGGTTTGGTATATACCTGATAATTTCATTGACACTAATACATTTTTAAGACTCAAAGTAGTTTAAAAGTACAGAGTATGCTTTTTAAGAATTGTTGCAATACACAGTTTAGGAGTTGAAGTATTTTAGTTAGTTCAAGGCCAGAAAAAGTCATGTGAGGAGGCTCCAAGATACAGCTAGGTCTTGGAGATATAAGTCAATGGTAGAGCCATTACCTCACATTCACAAGGCCTTGGGTATCATCTCCAGCAATGGGGAAACATGAGGTAAAGTGGTAGAATAATTGTTCAATAAGATTGAATTAAATATGGGCAATTTGTTTTAAATTTAAAATAAAATTTGTCTACATAGCTAAATAAAGACAGCAGAATTTTGTCAATCTTCTATATGCTGAATGCCAAAGTGATATTTGTTAATACTTACCACCACATAAATATTTTTTTATATTTTGGGGTTAAGTGGAATTATGCATTGTTGAGCTTCTAAGTTATATTGCTACATGTTTCAATGACCTATATTTTTTAATATAAGTAATGATGGTAATAATATTCATTGTAGAAAAATTATAAATATAAAAATAAGAAGAAAATAATTAAGATGACTTATAATCCCAGCAACTAGAAATAGTCACTATTAATATGTAGGTAAATTTATTTTTAGTTTTTTCCCCCCTTTTACATAGATGGATGCATGCATTCAGATATCCTTACAAAATGTTTTGTTTCTATCTAACTTTTTCACCTAGATTTATATTGTGAATAAGATCCCATGTCGTTAAAAATAGTTCTCAAATAACTTCCATGGCTGCAGAATATATGCACCTCATGATTATTTGTTTATTCCCATTTTGACATTTAGATTGTTTTTAGTATTTCATTTAAAACACTTATTAATATTTCTCTACATTTCTTATACTTTTTTTGGACTTCATTTCTAAAGATATCTAGAAGGTGGAATTATCCTTTAAAGTTTATGATCATTCCCAGATGTGATGTATGTCACTCTTCCTTGAAACATGACAGTACCTCACTTTTCTCTTAACAATGTAGGAAGTTGGTAATCTGTTATTATATCAATATTTTCATTAAGGAAATCTTCCCTGGATATATTGAGATTATTTAATATTAGTATGCAATATTTATGTAGTTGTTATCTTAAACGTTCTTCTTTTCTGGAAGGTTCCAAAAAACTGAGGTATGATAAATTATTAGCAACATTTTTTTTTTTGGTCACATGCCCTAAATAAGGCTAGATATGGATAATAAGAAATTGAATACAAAAAAAATGGTTCTTGCTTTATTTTCACACAGACATTCTTTCAGGATATTCATTCATTAGAAGTATATTAATGGCATTTTTTAGAAACTTTATTTCCATCTCAGTTGGGCACATGATATTTATAAGCCACTAACTATAGCTACTACTTCCCCAAAAAGCACATGATTTTTCATCCTAAATTGGTGAAGTGAAATGCAGTTGGGTAGGGAGTGGTGACTGAGTTGTAAGAGATCCTTCCATATAATTACATACAGAGGTGGCAAATGCATAATGCTTACTGCCTTAGGTTTGAAGTGAATATTGTAATTAAAACTGTGTTCCCTTCTAGTGCAAGTATTTTACCTTAGGGGTCTTGTCTATCTTGTGAGTTTTGAAAGAACAATTAAAAGTGGTGTGTTTTTTTTTTTCCCCATTTCGGGGAATAGCATGCATTTCCAGTGTAACAAAGAAGTAATTTAACTGACTGGCATGTTTTTAATATCTTGAGCATACCATTTCTTTCAAGTGATTTCATGTCTTTTCCAAATCTTAGATCCATGTCTAATCTTAGGTAACCATAATGTGATGTGAATTTGCCTCCCACATTTCACTGTTCAAGATAGCCACAAACTTGAATATTTGCTCTGTTGAGTGGATTCTATTCTCGAAGATAGTCTCTGAGGGTATATGGTAAAACTGTCTAAAACTTGATTGTACAAATAGATATTTCCTCCCTGGAGATGGCAGCCAGGGTCTATCACACACTTAACCATGTGCCGCTGTAGTACTGGGCAGGAAGCACCTCAACACCCCCAAATTTCCTGCTCTTTTCAAAAAGGATTTCTTAGTTCTGAATCTTCAGGATTCTTTTGTAAAGGAAAGGAGAATCCTATCACTGATAATAATGCTTTGATCTCTTAAAAATTAAGCCATTAATTTTTCATGTCTTTGAGTAATCGAAACACTAGGGTCAAAAACTATTTTAGACATCTTTTATTTCCTACAGAACAGCATAGAACACTAAAAGTAGTAGATGCTCAGCCAAAAAAAAAAAATTAATTTATTTGTAGAGTAAAAACAAAAAATCAATAGATCATGGTGGTCAAGATTTTAAAATATTTGTTCATTCTAATGTTAAGTAAAAGGGAAATAGCCATCACATTTAATGAATGAGGGAAAAATCTAAAAAAAAAAGGTAAGCATATGTTTTCATATAGATGAGGATCGAACCTTATACTTCAATTAGGTCCTTATACGACCTTCATTGTCATTGAAAGATCACTCTTCTCATTACTCTTGTCTGTTTTGTTACCATGTTATTTTCAGGGACTCCAGAAAGCCTAGCTGAGAAAGAGAGGCAGCTCATGGGTATGATCAATCAGCTGACAAGTCTGCGAGAGCAGCTGTTGGCTGCCCACGATGAGCAGAAGAAACTGGCTGCATCTCAGATTGAGAAACAGCGCCAGCAAATGGAGCTGGCTAAGCAGCAACAAGAGCAGGTGAGTAAGATCCAAAGGTACTGTCGGGTTCCTTAGATGTTGTTTTGCTTGATTTTTGTCAATCACTATTTGAGGCATACAAAGGTGAATAAGAGCCCTTCAGTCCAGCCCCATCCAGGTAAATAAAAAGGCAAAACACACACACACACACACACACACACACACACACAGAGATTTTAAGAAGCTTATTAATTACGTTGGTAGAAACAGAAGCACAGGTTGAGTATCTATAATCAGATATCTTAAAATCTGAAATTTTCTAAAATTCAAAACTTTTCAGTGCTGACATGATGCCATATGTGGAAAATTCCACATGATTCCAGGTTGCAGTCAAAACACAGCCATATTTCACATATTGTATAAAATTACCTTTGGACTAGGTATTTAAGATGTGTAAGAAACACAAATGAATTTCATGTTTTGACTTGGGTCTCCAACCCAAGACTTTGCATTATGTATATGTGACTATTCCAAACCCCCCAACCATTGGAAATCTAAAACACTTCTGGTTTTAAGCATTTAGGGTAAAGGATACCCTACTTATAAACAAGATAAATGCTGATGGGTCATGACGTAAGTACCAAAAACCATGAAGAGTCAAGGAAATTTTTCCAGACAGAAACATTTTGAAAAACATTTATTAGAAAGATGACATTCTAAATATGCTCTGAGTAAAAGGTAGGATTCAATAAAGTGAAGTGAATTACAATTAGGGGAACAGAATTTTCAGTGATGAAGCTATTCTAGTAGTTCAAATAATAATGTATGCGAATCTAAACTAAGAAGGTAATTAACAGAGACAGAGGAGACAGGAATGAACAGGTGGGAGAGTTATGGTCAGTAGAATTTTTTGAGTGGGCAAAAGGGAGAGGAAGAGTGATGAGCCTGAATAGAAGGAGAGTGAGAATGTGAATACCACCAATATGGAAGGTCAGGCAGAGGGCAGATATAGACGTGAAAATGGTTTATTATGCCGAACTGAAGCTTCTATCAGGTTGTGCAGTTAGAGATATGTGAAAAGCAGCTAGAAAATTCAATCAGTAGCTTAGAAGAAAAGGGCTGAACTAAGTTTCTTAGATTACCTACCTGGAGACTGTAGTTTACATGACTGTAGTACATAAGATCCATTCACTTATTCAACAAGTAGTAATTCAGTGCTTCTTGTATGCTGAGCACTGGGCTGATCGCTCAGGTTGTATCTCAATTAGCCACAGAGACAATGCTCCTGAAACCTAGTGGAAAGACAGTTAACAAAGGGACAGATAAATAAAACAGTATTAGACAAGGAAAAGTAACTCAGAGATATATAAGAAGAGTCATGTGATAAATATTGGTTGATGTGACAAGGCGGTACTTCTTAGATTGGGTGGTTGGGTATGTCTTTCTGGAGCTGTGGGAATTGAGCCAGATCTCAACAATCTAGAGGCAGCCATGTTGGTACCTGGGGCCAGAGAGTCTCATGCAGAGGAGTCACAGGTTAATAGGCCATGAAATACAGTCTTGATATCATGAGAAATAGGAACTCAAGGTATGTCCTCCTGGGAAGCACTGGCATGTAGCTATCAGATAGGAAAGTGAACACACCCAGAAGCAGTCACATACAGGAGGAGGGCTATGAATGCAGTATTGTGAACCAGGAGAACCAAAGAAAACAGAGATTTTTAAGAGGTAATAGGCTACAAAAAAAATTATCATTCTAAGATTGATCAGAAGCTACTAGCTTTACCATTTAGATTCTCATCATCTGCCTTTAAGAATGCAGTTTCTATAGTGTTTCAGCAGAAATCAGACAGTAAAATTTGACAAATATGTAGCAAGAATTAAAAGAGAAAGCAACTTAGAGGGTGTCATAGGGTCAGTTTACATACAAGGATGGTGCCACTTTTCCATGGCTAAAGCCCTTTGTTCTATGTCCTGGGCACAGTTCACTCAATGTCCCAAGTGGAGAACAGCCACTATTTAATCAAGGATATTTGTATGTTTACACATCTTTGCAAAATCTTCAAAACAACTTCCAAAGAGTAAACTAGCAGAGTTGAAAGAGGTAAAGAAATACTCAGATTACTTCTTTTGAATAGTTTGAAGACACTACCCTCTTCTATTTTTTTTTTTCATTTTCCTCTTCTTGATGGTTCATTTCTGCTAAAGAGATGATATTTTTATTTTGAATGAAATGTCTCATCACTTTTTTTAAAGATTTGTTGGCAAGTTACTAAATATGGCCCATATTCTTCTTGCTTAGCTCTGCAATAAACGAGTTCAGAATGCTTGCCTGTCACCCTGTAGAAAAACAACATGTTTCCTATCCTTAGCTTTTAATGTCTTCACTCACCTGAATTCTGGAGAATCCTAGGAGCCTCTGAAAACTGTGGTTCAGATTTTATTATTATTATTATTATTTTTTTGTAGAGAATACCTACTTACTTTGGGGGTTTCCAGGGAACACCTTTCTGAAAAGTTGAAGCATTCACAAATAGAGAGGAAGTCTTTTTATTTCACACTCTGACCCATCCTTGAATATCATATGGGGATTCTAGAATGTTTTACTTTCTGAAGAACTCTGACCATTTTCCTTGGAACTTTAGAAACCTGAAGCTCCTTCCAGAATTTCTTTCCAGTGTTGGAGAGATGCTTGGCAATGCTGCCTCTACTGCCTGAGAGGTAGTCCCTCAGGAGAGCTACAGGTCCAGTTTCTAGAACCCATTGTGCTCTCCCAATCTCCTTTACTGTACAGAGCTGGCTAGTACCGTCACCATTCTGCAGTTTCAGATCTTGTCAGGAAGGATATTAATACTTTGAAGATCCAGGTCAGGCTTGCCTCTCTCGAAAATTTCCCTCCCAGGATTCCCTATTGAGGGCAGGGTGTCCCAGGTCTCTGTACCTTACACAGATAAATGGGCCCACTCCGCCATCAACCTTGCCACCAGATTCTGAGCTCCCGTCTGCATTCCTCTATTCCATGAATATCTATTAAACACAAATTTAGTGCTAGGTTCTGTTCTAATTACTGGAAATACTGAAGGAAGTAAAGCAGACCAAAATCCCTCACATATTGAGCTCTTAGTTCAGACAGCCAAACAATAAATAAACCACCAAATTATAGTATGTATGACTATGTAATAGGGTGAAAAATAAAGTAGGTAATTGGGATGAGAGCATCAGGTACAGAGATAGGCTCTCTTAAAGTACCGAGGGAAGAGCTCATCAACCAGGTATCATTTGAGCAGTCTAATAGGAAGAAAGGGAGTGAGCCACATGGCCATTGAGCCCAGTGTGTTCCAGATTAAAGAGGAAAGGCAAGTGCAAAGACCCAGGGGTTGGCACTTGCCTTGAGAGGCAACAGCATCCTTGATGTATTCAAGAGACAGGAGAGAAGTATGGTGAGGAAGTGACAGGGAGAAAAGGAGACGAAATCAGAGAGGTAGCAGGAATCATATGGGTTTGCTGGCATTAGAGAGTATCCAGCTTGTGTTCTCAGCGAGCACAAAGGTTTTGAAAGAGGAAAAACACAACAAAACTTATATCATAAGAAGATCTCTCTGGGTGCTGATTTGTAATCTACTGTAGGGACTGATGACAAAACGACAAAGAACAAATAGATGTCACAGCAATCCAGGAAGAGGGCTCAGTGGCTCAGCACAGGAGGATCATGAAGGTGTGACTTGGTTCATTAGGTGTTCTCACCACATTGTTAAAAGGATTTGAATATCAATTCAAGTGCTTATATGTGGAAGAGAAGAACTAGGCTGAAGGAAATGAGTGACTTTTATTTTTTATTATTTTCTACATATCTTCAGAAAACCAGAAGTGGTCTTTTTTTTTTTACCATATTCCAATGATAAAATGAAAATAATAAAAAATCATAATTTTACCAAAGTCCACAAAGGAAATCAAAGTCATAATATAGCCATGCAGAACCATTCCCATCACATGAGTTTTTTTTTCTTTTACTCACAGTGATGTATCAGTGTTTTCCCAAATTTTAATTTTCCACCACAGAGTTTCACAGATTTTTTTTTGTAATAAAAATGATAAATCATGGTGCTGAGAATCACTTGTTTTTGGTGAAAATGAAATCTGGAGCTCATTTATAAAAGAGTGGTAGGTTTCATGAGGCCAGAAGTTGCATTCTCATGAGATGGCTTTCTACTCCATATCATGTAATAAATTATTTAAAATTTTCTCCTCACCTATTAGTTCTTGTGTTCTCATTAAATATTCATTTAGTATCCCTTTTATACCAGGCTCTGTGCAAATAGCGAGCAAATTGTGCGTACTCCTTAACCTCACTGAATGTATGGAGTTCTCCCCAGGAGACAGAAAATATGAATTTGGAGTCATAGGATGGGGCACTGTATTAAGTAAGTGCAGAGGTTGTTAAAACTGTGGGTAACAGGGGAGTACTCTTGCTCTTCCATGGGATAGGAAACACTTAAAATGACCACACCCCAGGGGACTGAATCTTGACTTTAGTTTTGGATCTGTTGACCATAAAGTACCTTTGAGTATGTCTCTGGGTTGATAGGTCTAATGCTTAAAACAAAGGTGTAGACAAGAGAAACAGATTTCAAATCACTTGGCATCTATATGAAAGTACACACAGAGGGTAAAGAACAGTGTCTACAATTGAGCCTTAGAGGATCATAGCATCCCTCTGCTAGGCGGAGAGGTAGCAAAAATACAAGAAAAGTGTTATGACATAAAAAACATAGAAGAGAGTTCAAGATCGATAAAAGGTGTTTGCGGCTCAGATTCTGATGAAACATTAAAAAATGATCATTAAAACACATTTCAGAATTTAATAGAGGTGATTGATGACCTCATTTTGGTAGAGAAATATGGGTACAGATATCCCTAGAATAGGATGTTCTGGAGAGGTGGCCTTTAGACGTTTGTGGAAAGTCAAAATGAGAACAGTGTTTATCACAAAACAACAAAAAAGTTATCAAAAACATCACTGTATCTAGTCTCTTTATAATGTATGTTTCTCTGAACCCCTTGGTCACAACAACCCCATTTATGCAATGCTCTTTCTTTTGTAGAAAAGGGCTGAAAGGTCAGAACAGTGTCTTCTTAATATATGATCAGGAAGAGAGACTTTGAATCCCTGCTGCTTCTTACTGGGATAGATCACTGTTGAAATATCTTGGGTTTCATTTATTTTAGGCCAAAAGAAGCATATCTGGTTCTGGAGACTAAATGCTTATTTGATCCTACTTAAGGATGTTTTGACCATAATTTTGGGGCAGGACACATCTGTCTTCAACATCTTGACCAGTGTCAAAATAAAACTCTGAGAAACAAAACATAGGTAATCCCCTCCTCCCAATCACTTCAGTATATTTTTAAATTTTTCATGTGCTGTTTCTCCACAGATTGCAAGACAACAGCAGCAACTCCTGCAGCAACAACACAAAATCAATTTGCTTCAGCAACAGATCCAGGTCAGAAATCAGAATTTCAATACACTTTCAATTAAAAAAAAACAACGTATTTTTGTTTCTTATGTGACCTAACTCGAATGACTTCCAATCTAAAATTTACTTTCAGCCTAATTCATGACATGTTGCCTCATGGGCCATACACATCTTGTAAATGATGACTGTCCCAGGACCTAGTGTATCAGGGAGCTTCTGTCTGAGCAGTCTGCCAGTGATTTTCATCTTATCCTGAGAACAAATTATTGGGGAGAAATATTTCATTTCCTCCATGCTTTATTTTATTTTGTCTCTCTTTAAAGTTATATATATATTTTTTGGTTCTTCTATGCTTTAGTATTTAAAAATGTAAGTATTCTTAATGGGGTAGGTGCAGGTAACTGAAGCAGAAAGGTACCAAAGGTTATCAGAGAAAGAGTGCCAGAGAGCTTTTTTCACTGAATGTTTGTTCAAGAACTATGTGTCATCATCAGAGTGGAACCCAGGGAAGGTGATGATTTGGTCTTCATGTCAGCCCTTACCCATGGTATTGCCTGGGGAAACCAAGTCTGAAGACTCTGTGGTCCTCTGTGTTTTTCGTGTATGGAAGTGCACAGTGATCAGGCACATCAATAAAGAAGGAAAGAAGCAACTGTATTAGTAATGAAAGGAAAAATAAGTTGCCAGGTATGTCCTGCTTTCACTCTTTGTTGCTAGCATGAACTTTGACAGAATTTGTTTCCCTTTTTGAAAATCACTTACTTCAAAGAGATTTGATGAATATTAAGTCACATCACAGATAAAGAGACTTGTCATAGTGCCACAGCACATAGTGAGTACTCAGCACCTACTTGCCGTGACTGTCAAGGTCTCATAATTCATGGAGCTATGACTCCAACCTGATGTCACATCCTGTATCTCGAAGCAACTGTAGTTGAAATGTGTAGAAATTTGTGTAGAAATTCATCATTCTTTTGAAATTACTCCCTGAGAATATAGCATTTTATTACCTGTAAATATCATAGAAGACAGAAGCAGACATTTCAAAATTATTTTATTCATGTATTAGCCATATTTTTAAGTTTTTGGCAACAAAACCTCTCCCTAACAAACTTATCTAACTGGGTCAGGTGCACGCAGTTTCTTTACCCTCAGCTACATAGACAAATCAGTGTTTGTTTTCCCTTGTTACCTGGAATTTTAATGAGCCAATGAAAACTTCAGTGGGACAGTGGAACATGGGTAAGATGTTCCAGCCAGGGGTCTTTGTCTTCCATAATTGTTATTATAAGCAACACATTTCTGACATGCTTTTATCTATTCAGGTCTGGAGCACAGTTATTGAACTCTGTGGTTTAAAACTGTTCTTTGGACTTCCTATTGTTCAAAGCACACTGACTATGCCTATTTGTTTTGGCTGATGGCACCAAGTTATCTGCATTTAAAATGTTTTAAATTTTAGACAAAGGGGAATGAAGGGAAGGGAGGAAAGATAGGAATAGGAAAGATAGTAGAATGAGTCAGAAATAACCCTCCTATGTTCATATATTAATATACTACCAGTGAAACTCCACATTCACATACAAAACAAGAATTGATCCTAATTAGAATAAGTTATATTCCATGTATGCATAATATGTTGAAATATACTCTACTGCCATGTGTATTTAAAAAGAATAAATTATAAAAAAGACATTAAAATTATGGCATGCTTTAATTACAAATAAGATATAATTCCATGTGCAGCAATATGGCAAGTCACCTAGTTTGACTGCAATTTGAAAAAGTTACTAATATTTTAAAATTTTGTCATTTCTGTGAGACTAAGTCTTTTAAACACAAGTGCAAAAAGACATCTAAACCTATAAGTAGTTCAAGACTCAAGAAATGTTGTGTTTTGACCATTTATATTAGTCAACATTTAAAGTTTGGAGAAATGCTCCACAATTATGACCACTACATTCATAGTGTAGATTTTAAATCTGTTATAGTGTCAAAATGTTGAAGTGGATAGTCTTCTTGCTCCAGAACAATAAGCAGTTTTGAAATGAAAATACCTTGACATTTTCTGTACTAGAAATGATGTGATGACAGAAAATATATTCCAGAGAGTTAAAGCCAAGTTCCATGACTTGCCTAAGATCACATATCTAATTACTAGTAGGCAGGATCGTTACAAAATTTTCTGTTTATACAAATTTTACCAGGTAAAAAAATTTTAAAAGCTTAGAATTTCTATTTGGCCAAAATGTTAAGCTGCTGACCTCCACCAAATTGACAGAGTGAAAAATAAAATTCCTAAAGGAAATAACATGACATTGAGAGTAATTCGGGGGGGAAAATTTAAGATATTGAGGTATCACTGGGTACAGTGGAAAACGCCTATAATTCCAGTTACTTAGGAGGCTGATAGGGCCAGAGGATGGAAAGAGGCCAGTCTTGGAAACTTTGGGACACCCTGTTTCTATCTTTAAATTAAATTAAAAAAAAACTGGAGGTGTAACTCAGAGGTAAAGTACACTGGGGTTCAATTCCCTCTACTGCAGAAAAGAAAAAAGAAAAAGAGAGATTGATCTTGAGGTATCATATATGTGTATATATATTCTCTTTCTAAGGATAGCACAGATAAGTGAAACCAGCAGAGTCAAAATCGAAGTTGTTATTGTTTAAAAAATGGTATAAGAAATAGGGAATATTTCAGGCAATCAATAGTAAATTCTGAGCTAGACTGCCAATCTGAAAGGAATTAATTTTCACAGCTTCTAATGTATTCATCAACTAAAAGCATAGTTCTAAAATATATTTTGTAAATTGTTAATTTGGGGGAAGCCTTAGGAACACTTCACAGTTATAAAAATCACAGTCCATTTGAATTATTTAGTTTGCTAATAGGTTGTTGCAACAATGATGGGAAGAACGGATGTCCCAGCATATACAGAAACAGAAAACTGAAACTAGAATAGTCATTCTCTTCCCATGTAAATCCTTACACATAGCTCTTTAGAACGTCTTCTCTTTTCACCTTTTCTCCCTCTTCCTCCTTTTCCTTGGTAGCCTAAGACAAGGAGGAAAAGGGTAAATGTAGAGTTCACTACTTTTGATGAATCACACTTGAAACAAATATTGTTGTAAAATTCTTGAGGAAAAAATGGATATGCAATCAAGTGCTCAGTAAGATTTGCTAGAGACTAAATTTTATTTGATATTTGAAAATAATTATAAATACTTATCTGGTATTTTGAACTATTTCTTCTTTTTTTCTTTGTAAAGCCTGTTACCTTGTAGAAATAAGCATACCAACTTACATTATTCATCTTGATCACATTTTCTTCACTGTTTTAAACAATTGTTCTTGTTCTAGATCTTAGAAAACAATGAATTCCAGTTTCTTCATTGATGAAACAGAAAACTAGAGTGTTTTATGGTCTTTAATTTATCTGGCTCTAAATTTTTTTTCAATTATAAATTCAAAGACATGAACTGTGTCCAGTTATTAATAAAGGTGATCTGCTAAATGGGTTAGATTGATTTCTTAAAAGAATAGGCCAATTTCACTTGATGGACATGTTAAATAATGTTGGAAAGATTATATTCCCATAACATTTCCTTCATTCCTTTCATGAGATCTGTAAAAGAGAGGTTGTTTTAGATATCTTTATTCTATGAAAAATATGTCATATGCAAAATTTTTCATATTTGTCTCTATAATATTCATATAGTCTAACACACTAGTTTATTTAAAAATTTTCTTAGCCTATTACTTCTATCTTCCCATCCCTTGATGAAAAGAGTGATGGTAAATTTTATTCTATAGTTATATATTTAAAGAAAAAATATTATAAGAATCTGACATAAGCCAGTTTTATTTAATTGCTTAAGATCAGTTCTTTATGAGCTGTGATTATTTTCTAAAAAAAACCAACTTCAGCTTTAAAATTGCATAATTCGAATTGGACTGAAAATTAAACCTCCAGTTCCTCCTTTTAAAACATTGTAGGGTTACTATCTTCTGCCAGGTTTATTTATTAGGATTAAAAGAAGAATTGAAGTTTTCTGTTTTTTTTTTGTCACAAATAAGTTTACTGTACAAATAAAATCATGTTTAATATTAGAAGCATGATCTGTTATCCTTAAACACCATGTCCATTTCTATGACTTTTAGAACATCAAGCAGTTTCAGTCTTATTTTTCTACTACTCAGTAATATCTCCAATATTTTTATTTATTAACCTTCTAAGAACAGTTTTGTCTTGCCTTTGCTATATCTAGCTAACTTTTAATGTTCATTAATAAATGAGATAAAATTTGTAAATATATCAGAAAAATGTCTCTTCCAGTTTGTTTTGCTTTGTTTTTGTTATCTGACAGAAATCTTTTCTTTTTTTTTCTTTGTATGTGGAGTAGTCTAAAGCACCTATCTTTTCGTAATTTTGTTTCTTCATTCCCTTTTTACATTGGCTCAAACTGTTTTCTAATATTGATACTTAGATGGTGTTTGTTTCAAATAATGAACCAAGCAAGCATAATGGCTCATCTTGACCTGATTCTGTGTCACAAAAACCTTTTATAAAGTAAGTAAATGAGTGACCTCTACTCAGCTTCCATTACAACAATAAATTGAGTGTTCTTGGAGACCTAATTTCCTTTGATTCTTGAAGCTTCTGATGAGACGGAGTTTCTATAGCTCCAACCTGAGTGTAAGAACCATATCCTAGCTATAAGTTTCTTAGCCTTTTTCAATAGCACTTAATAGAATTTTAGGTTATTGTCCTCAGCTAGTAGGGTTAATCCAACAATATGCTCTCCTGAGAAATCCACTTAAGATATTTTAAAGGACAACTTAAAGATATTGTTTTTCTTTTTAACTGCACATTTATCACAATTCCCATACTGAGAGGTCACGGTTTGAAACTTCATGAGAGATTTCCAAAAATTTATTGTGTTTCTCCTCTGACAAATGTTTCTAACTATTGTTCATTATGTTCTCATGGAGCAAAAGAATTGGTATTAATAACCCCTTTATTGTT